TTTCTTTACAAGAAAACAGCAACATATTTATTATACAACCTTTGATTATATTTCCTTTAGCACTCCTCACCACCCTTAATAACTCTATTTCTGTTATACTCTCCACTCTTGCTAGTCTCAGATCAAGCATATTAAACAGTTAGCGCTTAGTTTTGATTACGACAATACAAGAAGACAAACAGTGACAATCTCTAGGATAGCATGACACTGATACTGGAATTGAAATTAAAATAAATAATTAGACCTTTTATCACTAAGCTTTAAAATGTTTATTTGTAATTGTGTATTTATACAGAAGGGGTTATTAGCCCCCTTGCTCCCAGCATTTTAGTTGCCTTTTCCGATATGCATGGCTTATGGAGGAAGGATTCGTCTCCACTTCCCCACGGAGATGAAAGGAAATAACATAAGGACAAGAACTATTAAGAAAATAGAAGATGACTCAGATGGTTGTATATACACATACATGTGTAGTATGAACTAAGTGTAAGTAGAAGGAGAAAGATGTATGTCATCTTGTGTTTTTAAGAAACAAAAAGAAAGATACCAGTAATTATACCATCATGAAAACAATTAAATGGTTCCATTCCACACTTGTGTAGCAGGATGGAAGTACCTCCCTAGGTGCACAAATCTGTGGAGAGAAAGAGTGATAGGGGTCATCTAGGAAAGGATGGGGGGGGGGGACATTTTGTGTACAACATCCAACAAACATGAGTGGAGGCATGTGGTTTTCATGGCTTTATGTGCTGTTGGAGTGAGCAACGTAACATTTATGAAGAGATTCAGGGAAAAGCAATTAACCAGATTTGAGTCTTGGAGGTGGGAAATACAGTGCCTACATGGTATTAGGCAGCATGCTTTTGGTGTTAATAAAAATATACAATCATTTATGAAATTCATGACTGAAAATATCCTAATAACAAAGGCAAATTAAGCCTTTTGTAAAATAATGCAATCACAAAGTTGGGTCCTAAAAAGTGTCATTTTGCCAGGAAATAATAATAGGGCTTATACCAAAAATTATCTCCAGAAAAATTTTCCTTACCAGAGTAATGTTTTTAAGAATAATACAGAACAGTTAAATTTACTGATGGCTGCCTACTGTGTGATACAACAGAAATCAGGCCAGGTGGGAGAATAACACAGATTAATGGCATTGTACATAATAGTTAGGCAACCAACATCCCTCTGGTATTTAAGATTTTTGCTGAAATGGCAGATCCATCCAGGCCAAGTCATGGCAATAGATCAGATGGCTTGTGTGGTTCTCTAGCTGGTGCATACACAAGGTGAGAGCAAATATGTGACTTTGTATACACAGTTTTTTTCAGAGCTTCTTCTATTGAGCAAGTATGAGTTGCCATCTTAGCACTGAAAGTCTCTTGGCTACCTTCCTTTCAAAATTCACCATATAATTCTTCATACACTAGATCCATGTTTGGTTGTCTTAGATGGTTTACTGTAGTTATTACTAAGAAAGATTACATCCTTAGAATATAAACTTCCTAGGTTGGAATTTTTTTCTTTTTAACACACTATCTCCCACCAAGGTAAGGTGACCCAAAACAGAAAGAAAACCTTTCACCATCACTCTATCACTGTTTTGCCAGAGATGTGTTGACATTACAGTATACATGCATACACACACACTCTTTCTCTTAGCCCCTGCAACCACATATAGGTGAGTATACACAAACACACACATGTCAAATATCAAGTACATTTAAACATCAACGTATCAGGTTAGCATATTAAAAATTCAATTTTTGTAGAACATACCAACTAAAGTTGATATTAAGAAGTGATAGGAGGAAAGTTTCATAACAGATTACCATTTAATGTAACAAAAGCATCTGAGGGATATAGACATTATGTTCATGCTATTATTGACAATAAATTTAAACTCGTATAAAATAATCAAAAGAGAATAATTAATATTTACTGAGGACATGGTTTGGTCATTTAGATTTAATGGAACAAAGTAGAATGACTTGGAGAGCACATAAATCTGTAGGGGAAGGAAGGCAGGGTATGGGTCAGCCCCAAAAAGGTTGGAGGGACAGGGTAAAGGAGGTTTTGTAGGAGAAGGGCTTGGACTTCCAACAAGCATGCATGAGCGTGGTAGATAGCAGTGAATGCAAATGAAAGTTTTTTTTGTGACCTGATGAGCTGCTGGAGTGTAAGTAGGGTAATATTTTGTGAAGGGGTTCAGGGAAACCAGTTAGCCAGATTTGAGTCTTGGAAATGGGAAGTACAATGCCTGCACTTTAAAGGAGGGGGTTGGGATACTGGCAGTTTGGAGGGATGTCTAAACTGTCATATCTGAGCACCTCTGCAAAGACAGTGATTATGTATGAGTGGGTTTTTCTTTCTTTCTGGGTCACCCTGCCTCGGTGGGAAACGGCTGATGTGTTAAGAAACAAAAAGTTTACTAAGTTTAATCGTGTCAGTCAACTAAAAGGCATGACTGAGAGCTGAAGGGGAAGGGGGGGGGGGGGTTTAGGAAGGAATGCCTGGAAAGAAAAAAAAAATAATAGAAGTATTTTGGAAAAAAATGTTTTCTTACTGAAAAATATGCACAATTCTGGTAACATATTGATGCAATCAGCTTCTTTCTATCATATTTCTAGGTATCTTTTTCCAAAAATGCAATTTTTTTTGTTCTTGCTGTCAAGAGGACATGATGCTAATTTTTTTTTTACTCCAAAAATTACGATTTTTATGACTGTTTCATTAAAATACACTGCACGGCGCATCTTTTCTGTGGACTATATATTAGTATTCAGAGTAAAAGATGCTCAGTCGCCTGCGGGCTGCTCAACGTAACTACTTTTACTCATTTATAAGTTATTGACCTTTCGATACTCACTGTACAAAAACTACTTGACGGATTGTTGTGATTTTTGCACACATTATTGAGGAATGATGGTTCTACTCATTGATAATGGGGATTTGCGATATTCCTTACTGTGTTGTTTTTATTATTTTTTCCCCAAAAAATACTTAAAAAAAAAAAATAATTTTTTATCATGCAATCTACTGACATTTCACTCAAATGCAGGCACTAGTCACATAATTATTTAGTCCTTTATCATTCATCTGATGTCAACTAAAACACTGTATCTTACCAGATTTGTAGAGTAGTTACTGTTTTATGCCCTATAGAAGAGGGCACTATTTATTTTTTCTATCTATATTTTAAGGCAAAAAATCACTACAAACACAGGGTGCAGGTTTCAAATGCTGCTTAAATCACAGTAAAAATTTCATTGAAATTGGATAAAAAAAAATTCGATTTCTTCCTCCTCCCCTGAAGCTCACCCCAAATACACCCAGTTCAAAGTTAAGTTGGCTCACGGTTTTAAAAGGCACCAGTAATTTTTATTTGAAAAGTGATAAAAACTGACACTTCTAATAAGACTATATCAAGACATATTAAAACCAAATTTCAAGTCAACTTGGCAAGTGATTTCTGAAAATTATTCAGTACTAAAGGATGGTATTTCCTGATTTATCTTTTATATCTAATGAAAATGAAGAGCAACAAAAAATAAGAAGGAAAAAAACACCATTTTAATACTGAAATAAATAGAGTGAGTGATATACTGGTATTTGTCCAGTGACACAATATTGTACTACCGCCCTATATAAATGAACACATTCATAAAATGTAATTTCCAACAAACTTTTTTTGCTCGTTACTTTGTACACTGTCGGTTTTAATTCACAATAATAGATCAGAAACCAATTTTTTTTTTTTTTTTGTAAAATTTTGCCAATGATAAAATTTAATAAATTTGTTGTCCATATGTTATATTAATGAAATGCTCACAGATTAACATACTCATGTTAAGCACAAAATAATGTAATGTGCTACAATACACTACTTGACACATTTTATCACAAGATCTCTTGCAACACATGACAATTTCCAATTTCTGAGTTAATTTTTTTTCAGCACATTAACCTGTAAACGGTCCAAACGTATATATGTACAGTATACGTTTTTTCAACATTTGAAAGTATGTAAAAAAAGTAGATCTTTTTTTTTTTACATTTGAAAATGTGTAAAAAAACTTTGATCTACATTTTTTTTTGTTATACAGTGGACCCCCGCATAACGATGGCATCGCATAGCGATTTTTCCGCATAACGATTTACTTTTATCGCAAAATTTTTGCCACGCATACCGATTAAAAAACCGCATACCGATTTTCAGTCCTTGGACAGGTTCAATGTATCATCACATGTGGCCTGATTTACCCATTTGTTTATCCATGCCAACCTCGCGGTAACATCAAGCAGAAATCGGAAAAATTTTTCTAATTATTACAGAGTTTGAGTGTATCTGGAATAAGTGTCCATGGGCCAAGAAAGTTTAGTGCCACCCTGTGTAAAAAGGTGAAATTCAATCGAATTAAGAAAGATTTGAAGGTTTGGGCAACCTGAGAACTATGCCGTTGTGGATCATTGTGCTCTTCAAAGATTAAGAATGTGTGCAGTGGTTTGTAATGCAAACCTAATAGATAGAAATCCCGAACGCTGTTGCAGTGTTGTGATATTTCATGAATGTTTGGCCTTTAGAAAGTCTTGCCAAGAAGGGTACAGAGCTTTATGGACAATTTGTTGTGCCACAGAGGTCCAGTGATCTGAAATGGTCCTAGTGATTAAAACAGAGGGAGTAACCCACAAAAATGGTATTGCTACCTAAGTCCTAATGGAAGGGATTCCTTCTAAACAGTACCTTGCATAATGCTTTCCATTCATCCCTCATCATAAGATCTTCATCAAAAGTAAGTGTCATGTATATTGTGCATGCTATTCAGTTTGTGTGTATTAAAATTAACAGTTCATGTGGTAAAAAAATTTTTTCACTTGGCGTCTTGCACGGATTATTTTTTTATTTACATTTTTGGGGAAAATTATCGCATAACATATTCGCATAACGATGAGCTCTTGCACGGATTTAATTCGTTTAAGGGTCCACTGTATTGAAAATATGTAAAAAAAACGTAGATCTACTTTTGGAGCACTACGCATATGAACGTAGATCTGCTTGGACCATTTACGGGTTAAACATGTATATGCATATTTACAACTATCTTAACTTTTGTGAATATGCCAATACATTCTCTGAATACTGCTTTTTGACTGTACTGTTAAAAGCACAAATGCAGGGACACTCACCAATTTCTAAAAAGCTCAAACCATTAGATGCAATAAAATTGCAAACCACTAATCTCAAATGGCAAGTTCTGAAACATCGCTTTTCTGGGCAAATTCTACCTTGGAGCTATCCATGTTTTTTTTTGTGTGTGTGTATGTTTACACAGATATAAATATAATGCAGTGAAGGGAACCAGCATACATAGCTTTACCTTTTGGTAACTAGACTTGTAATGTAGTGAAGTCTATATTGGTGTAACACTTCACTTATGAGTAGGTTGTATCAACCAAGACATCACTGCATTAAGTGGATTTTCCACTTGCTGGTATTATGCCTTTATTTAGAATAGTTTTATATATTTTTACTCTATTCCCAAGTCTGGTGCACTTTGGTCATCCACTGCCAAGCTGCCATTGACACTCACATGCTAACTCAGCTCTGTGTCAAATAATGACTCCTGGACTATTATAAAAAAACTGGAGCTATTACTGGATATCAAGAGATTTCCAATGAACAACAGTTACCAAAATGTTTGAAGGTGACTAAATCGAACTGTTTCAATTTAGAAAAAATTACAACAAATGCAGGATAAAAGGTTCAGTAAGATTTTTCATATATTGGGGGAATAGGTAAATTTGCTTTTTTTTTTCCTCAACAAGTCGGCCGTCTCCCACCGAGGCAGGGTGACCCAAAAAGAAAGAAAATCCCCAAAAAGAAAATACTTTCATCATCATTCAACACTTTCACCTCACTCACACATAATCACTGTTTTTGCAGAGGTGCCCAGAATACAACAGTTTAGAAGTATATACATATAAAAATACACAATATATCCCTCCAAACTGCCAATATCCCAAACCCCTCCTTTAGAGTGCAGGCATTGTACTTCCCATTTCCAGGACTCAAGTCCGGTTATACAAAACAACCGGTTTCCCTGAATCCCTTCACTAAATATTACCCTGCTCACACTCCAACAGCTCATCAGGTCCCAAATACCATTTGTCTCCATTCACTCCTATCTAACACGCTCACGCACGCTTACTGGAAGTCCAAACCCCTCACCCACAACACCTCCTTTACCCCCTCCCTCCAACCTTTTCGAGGACAACCCCTACCCCGCCTTCCTTCCCCTACAGATTTATACACTCTCCATGTCATTCTACTTTGATCTATTCTCTCTAAATGACCAAACCACCTCAACAAACCCTCTTCAGCCCTCTAATACTTTTATTAACTCCACACCTTCTCCTAATTTCCACACTCCAAATTTTCTGCATAATATTTACACCACACATTGCCCTTAGACAGGACATCTCCACTGCCTCCAACCACCTCCTCGCTGCAGCATTTACAACCCAAGCTTCACACCCATATAATAGTGTTGGTACTACTATACTTTCATATTTTCCCTTCTCTGCCTCCACATATACCTCAATGCACCACTCGCCTTTTTTCCTTCATCAATTCTATGATTAACCTCATCCTTCATACATCCATCCGCTGACACGTCAACTCCCAAATATCTGAAAACATTTAGTTCTTCCATACTCCTCCTCCCCAATTTGATATCCAATTTTTCTTTATGTAAATCATTTGATACCCTCATCACCTTACTCTTTTCTATGTTCACTTACAACTTTCTACCTTTACACACACTCCCAAACTCATCCACTAACATTTGCAATTTTTCTTTAGAATCTCCCATAAGCACAGTATCATCAGCAAAAAGTAAAGGTAAAAATACGTACTAAAAAAAAAAAAAAATGTAGCCTTAACCAGAAAAATGCGAGAACCTCCAAAAGCAAAGATGTCATGCCACTGATGGTATTTTTCAAAGAGGTTAAGTTTGTTCATCTGGTCTACTACTCTGTGTGCACATCTTTAAAGACAGCTGAGATATCAATGGAGATGAAGATGGAAAGGACAGCATAGTGTTTGATGAACAAAATGTATGAGACTTGGGTATAATATTCAAATTTGGAATTTCCTTAACTATGAATATAAAAGTTCTAGTTCAGAATGATCTCCAAAACTGGAAAACTTCACAGGAGTGAAAAAAAAATCAGACAATTAGAAACATCTCACTATGGTAATTAAAGATTTGCCAAATTTTGAATTCAGAAGTTTCTCTTACTCAGAAAATTCTGAAGAAAATATTCTAAATTTAAAGTTTTGCAAATATCTCTAATTCTGAAGAAAAAATCTAACTAAAGATAAATTTTAAATTTCTAATATGGAAAGCCCTGAGCACAAATTACGTAGTCCAAATTCAAAAATTCACAATACGTACTAGTACTGTACTGTATTTGTAATCAAACTTCTGCTTAACCCTTTCACTGTCAGTGGGATTTATATCACTCGCATAGATCTACGTATACTTTGTAGTGTCTTCAAATTTGCTTGAAGCGGCAAGTTTTGACCTAGACTTGACAGAATGGGTTTATGTGGCAAGTGTGTGCAGTGTATAAAAAAAATCCTGCCCCATGTAGCGTATGATAGGAACTGCTAACCTCCAACCCTGCTATTGGGTTAAAATAGTGGATGTGGAGCATTTTTCGAGTGATTTTCAAGGTCTTATTAGCAGTTTTTTGGTGTCAATATGTAGATCAGAAAAATTCTAGAGGCAAAGAGAAGATTTTGGTTGGTTTCAGAGAGGAAGTAGCCTGAAAAGGCCACAAAATGGCAGATATGATAGATTTTTCTCAATTTTCTTAAGAAGGGCAGGGTCCCCCTACCTTCCTTGGTCTGTTTTTATGAGCTTTATTATGCTTCAATTATTGGAACAGATTAAACATGAACAAGCATCCTTGGTTATGGTCCATTAGCCGAGAAATAGGGAAAATTTTTTGTGTGACAATGAATTCAAAATGGAGAGCCCTGGGGATATGATTAATGATGTGAGGGAAAGTTGTTTCAGTGGTTGGAATGCCTGCAATGTTTGCTTTAGCCTCTGTTTTTAAATTGAAATTTATTGAAATAGTGTAAAATTGGCCAAATCATTAAATTCTGGGCATTTAATTAAATAATTTTGATGGTTGAATGGGTAATTACTTTATGTCACTGGATACTAGAAAAAGGCATACTAGTGAAATAGGTGGAAGGTGGGTTGGTTTGAGCACTGGAGCTGACCTAGAACAGGCCTCAAGGTGGGCAACATCACTATTGGGCGAAGTGCTCACCAACCCTTAACCCTTTGAGGGTCGACAGGCCCTCTCAGAAACTCGTTCTCAGGGTCGGCCAAATTTAAAAAAAAAAAAAAAAAAAAAAAAGTTTTTTCTTATGAAAAGATAGAGAATCTTTTCCTGATCATAATGACACCAAAATTATGAGATTTGATGGAAAACTTACGGAATTATTCTCTCCCGAAGTTAGCGGTCTCGGCGATGTTTACGCATCGGCGATTTTGCCCACTTTGAGTCCCATTTTCGGCCAATTCCACTGTACTAGTCGACAAAAAACATGAATATTTCGCTAGAACTACACTTTTTCTATTGAATAAGTGCAAGAAACCACCCATTTACCACTTTTAACTATCCAATACAGTGGTCAGAATTTAGCAATTTTGCCAATTTCACACAAATTTCAAAAAATGCCAATTTCCGAATAGGGTCCAGAACAAACAAGAAATACATTCCTGGCACTAAAATGACATTTCCTCTGTTCATTAGTCACGTCTCAAGGCCCCTCTTACATTCTTTTGCTTTCCACTTTGAATTTTTATTCTCACTAAAAAATAGAAGATTTACTGTTATGCATACTACTGCACTAGTTTAAAAAATGGTATAAATCATATTGGAGCACTTGCAAAAGAATATTAGACTCACCAGTCGACGTGTATTGGACGCTTGGCATGATTTGTTTACTTTTGAACTTTGGTAAAAATCGAACATTTCTGCTACTTTGAGCTCAATTTCAAGGTACTTTTCATTGTAAAACCAGTCAAAATCATCTCAATTTCTGTGATATGCCTTCCATTCTATAAAATGAGACCAACTAGAATACAACAATAAATACCATACGAAAATACAGTGCAAAGTCGCTGTTTTATTCCAAAAAAAATGGTCAAAGTTTTTTTTTCTCATTATGCACTGTGTGCTGCAGGATTTTTTATACCGTGCACACTGACCACATAGACCCATTCTTTCATATGGAGGCCTACCAGCCTTTTCCTGCGAGATTTGACGGCGCTAGAAATTATGCGTACTAGTACATAAAAAAACCCTGCGTGTAAGATGTACTAGTACGTCCGAAACCCTCAAAGGGTTAATTGTGTCCCTGCGTAATTCTGTAAGTACGTATTACATCAAATTTTGCAATTTTGGTGTCATTACTGTAGAAAAAGATTCTCTACCATTTTTGAAGATAAAATTATAGTATTTAACTGGCAACACAGAAGGGTCTTTCAATTTGGGGATGTCGACAGTGAAAGGATTAAGTAACACGTGCAACTGAATATCTCTTCCATTATTAGAATTATACACAAAGAATATTTTATTGAGAAAATAACACATGTTCCCTTTAATATATTAACACAACTTTCCAGAAGAGACAGTAGTACAGTACTGATCACGACTCATCACTGCATAGCTTTTTGAGCTTTAATACCTGCTCTCTGATAACTTTCAAAAGAATTTTACAACAATGTTATAAACATGATATTGGTATCTATATTAGTAACTCTTTCCATATGGCCTGTACACTGTACATTCATACCTCAGTTACATGTGACTTATGAAATAATAGCTTACATGACAATTTTGACTTCCTAGTCTTACCTTCTTAATATACATTAAGTAAATGTTTACACAATAACTTTAGAGCAGAAATTGACAGTTTTGCTTCATTGGATCTTACATAATTGAGGTATCATTGTGATCCTACAGCAACAAGATGCTATTAGAAAAATGCATTTTTCAGTAAATAAATAACCAAATTTCACCAGATTTTGGATGATATTTCATGAAACACACAAAAAATGTATCTAATTAGACGTATGAATTCTTCTTATAAATTATTTTAGTACTGAGCTCACAGCGCTAGGCTGATTAAGAGTTTAACCTAAGTGTAATGGAGCATTATACTGTACCGTACTTAGTGCACCTATTAAGAAAATAGTTACCTTGATAAACCTTATAATGGAGGGTATGTTTACTGTATATGAAACATTCAGATTTCTTGAAAACTCACTGATGGTCATTTCTTCAAACAATTTTAATGCATGAGAACTCTCAAACTGAGCTATATAAGCTTCCCTATGGTACACCCGTCCCTTGCTTTATGTGGCAGATGCATTCTTGCCTGATGACACACAAACCAAAATCACAAAACAAACCCATTATAACATGTTATAGACAAGGGTCTGTTCTCAGACTTTGCCAAGTCTGCATATTATTTTCCTCACTAATCAGTAGTTTATTACCAAATATATTCATACTTCATATGAATGCTAATTTTATACATGTATGAAGGTCTCACATTTTTCTGGAAAAGATTAGTCAAGAACTGTAGATTTATTATTTGCACTGTGTTAAAACATGAGCTCTTTGCTCACTGAGGAAGGAGAAAGAGAGAGTTGTTGGTGAGGCATGGTGGTGGGTGGGAAGCCTGGGAAGTCATGGAGGAAAGGGCATAGCTTCGGCAGAGAGGAAGGTCAGTGGGGTGGGTGTTCTGGGACTCCAGGAGGGTGACCTGTCCTGCACTGGTAGCCATGTCACTCACTGCCTTCCTCATTCATGTGTCCTGGACATGTTTAGTGGATGAGGCACATAACATGACATCCCTCATTCACCACTGCCTTCAATGTAGTACATCAGTTTAGTGTGGTAATGCAATAGCGGTTAAATATCGAGTGGATCTGTATTGGAGTAATCACACAAGAGCAAAAATGCAGAGCAACTGCCCTCTCTAATCAAAAAGGAATGAATTTTTACCACATGGTAAATTCCTGGTATAAAAGAAGTTGCCACGTATAAGCAAAACTGCAGATAGCGAACCCACATAAAGTGAGGGACGAGTGTACATTTATTTGGCATGCACCTAGATGATGTTTTCCTATGAAAACTATGAAAATTCCTTTATACATTCTCATATATAAAACTTTATCCTGAGCCACTAAGAAGACTTGAATTCAGACCTTAAACATTAGTTTAGCATTTTGTTAAATGTATGATAAATGATATACCTAAAGGGTAATAACCTTAGGGAGGTGTGCAAGCATTATGAAGCTTCTCAATCTTAACAAATTATTTCCTTTTATTTCCAATTACAATGCATATCAAGGACTTTGCAGTAGAGATAAAAAATAAACTGCACCACTACTGCCTTGGTGTGGTATATTAGATGTAAATAACAATTACATAAATCAGTGCATTATCTTATCTAGAGAGAGATTCAGCACCATATGGTGCAAATCAATTTCACCTGGAGATGACCACACTTGAATTTGTTTCAACAGTACAGTACACACAAACTGTGCCACTAAGTATGGCAACTCAAGATTATGATATGCAAATTTTTTGTACTGCTGTTGAGCCAGTTTCAAATTTGCAAGGGCACGAGGTATAACTTTTGCATCTTCCCACTCAGAAATAACAACATTTGTCAATCATGGGAATGATAACCTAGCTACTGACTAATCCAATGCTTTCTTGTAATCTTGGTCATACTACAATTTTTAATCTACAATAAAATCATTTTATTTCTTTGGTAGCTTATAAACCCCCAATAAAAAAAGTAAAATCCAGTATGTATCATACTTATTACCATGCAGTAAAGTTCTTGCATCCACCTCTTTGAGGAATATCTAAGGCAAATACAGCACTTGGGTCTTCACACATGATTATACGATATATAATTGTAAAAACAATCACTTGTATTTTTAAATCAGGCCACTTTAATGCAGATTAAATCTTAAAAAAATGGCCTTTGCCAGCTTCTCGCTTCAAAGAGCAGCAGAGTACATAGTATACTTGATACTTCAGCACAATATGCTTATCACAATCAGAACCACATTACCTCACTTCAGACCATTTCCAGTGTTCTTCTCGACACAGGTCCTTTATTTAACACTTCATAATATCTGGTGGCTAGTACATACTAGACTCATGACCAGCCAGAATATAGAGGTTGACACCCTGGTTGGCCTCAGTCAATGTCCCACTATCACACTCTAGCATTGATGATGGCCGGCTCTCCAAGGTGATAATTCTGTAATGAACAACAACAACACTATGAAGATGAATACCATTTCATATGTCAAGTAGATTCATATAAAAATTAATAAATTTTTACACTAAACTGAAAATTAAATAATTAAATTTACTGGTAGAATTACAAATATTAAATCAGAATATTCACAAAATATTTCTGAAATTCAGTCTGACTATATATTATATACTCTAATACATACTTTTTTCTCATCAGTTTTACAAATTCCATTAACTGATTTTGCATTCATATATGCTCAACATGATTAAAAATATCATTATAAAATCATTAATAATCATAAGCAACATCACTGACTTGCAATTATATTAACAAAAACTAGAAGGAAAATGTCTAAGTGGTATGAAGGTGTTAGATTGAAAAGTCATGCAAGACTACCACAGCAGTTCATCATGCAGGGTCAGCCAGGACATCTACTGGCCACAATTATACTTATACGTATAACACTTTTCAACAACTTTCAATAAAAACAATTTGGAACTACATTAACTTATTTATCATCACTCCCTTTTTTTTCACTGATGTAACAGTAATACTGAAAAACAATGGATATTTTTTATCAGGAAACATAATGAAAATTTCTAAGCTGTCGTACTTATGTTTTATGATCTTTTAACAAAGTGTACACCATGCCAAAAACTTAGGTAGGACATGAATAAAAACATGCTAACAGTGAAGGAAGTCATAATTAAAATGCTGTATACCGACATGATTATCGAATGTTAAATCTCGCACAAGGGGCTTACAGATAGGTGCTCAGAAGCGTTAGTATCAGATCTTGGGAAGCCTCAGTAACTATTCTCATGTCCTGCAAGAACATAGAGGTTGACGCCTTGTTCACTATCCCGTACTTCTGTGTTTCTGCTCGACACTATGACAACGCTGAGTTGTGACGGTGATGTTCCATGGTAGGCCAGCCAATGGGAGGTTTGTTAGCAAAGCAGCATAGCAGTTAGCAAAATATATGAAAGTTAGCATATAAAGCCAGGCCCTTTAGAAGAATGTTAAGAGGACATCACATTTGCTCTCATCCATGAGGACCTCAAGGATGAGCTACTTTGAAACAAATCCTAGTGTATTAATGACCATGCCCAGCAAAGTGCATATTAATGCTCATGAAGTACACAGGTTTATTTTTCAAATAAACCAGTTATACATACGGCTGTGGTAAAAGTATGAGCTCACATCCATCTCAAAGAGCAACAACAAGTGCAATAACTTTAAGTTTACTACTAGATTTAAGTGGAATCCAAGATTTCCTGCGATTATACTGCAGTATATATTGGCCAGTACTTTCACACTTCATTTTATATATATTTTCAGTTAAAAAATGGGGAATAAAATCAACGTAAGATGATGTTCAGCTGTACTCACTGTTTGATGATAATTTCATGCATAAACAATAGCCTAACCAGAAAATGAATTTCATTAATCTTGTAGAGAGAAAAATGTTCAAAGTTAAAGAAAACCGTCACTGTAGGAGACGAACAGGAGATGGGGATGGGAGGGGGGTAATATAAAGTGTGAACGAGGAACAAGTGCTAGGCAGTGATTTTGATCAAAAAAGGTTTCAAAATGTTTTTATAAATGGTGTACATTTCTGGCAATATACTATTGTGCATGATGTTAATCTTAACCTAAGTGTGTATATTTAACCCTTTCAGGGTTTCAGCCATACTAGTACGGCTTACGTGCCAGTGTCCATGACGTACTAGTACGCATAAATTCTAGTACCTTCTAGCTGGAAGGCCTACATACGAAAGTGCGTAATGAGAAAAAAAAAACTTTGACCGTGTTTTTGGATTAAAACAGCGACTTTGCACTATATGTTCATATGGTATTTATTGTTGTATTCTAGTTTTCCTGGTCTCATCGTATAGAATGGAAGACATTACAGAAATTGAGATGATTTTGACTGGTTTTACAATGAGAAGTACCTTGAAATTGAGCTCAAAGTAGCAGAAATGTTCAATTTTTACCAAAGTTCAAAAGTAAACAAACTCATGCTAAGCGTCCAATACACGTCAACTGGTGAGTCAAATATTCTTTCACAAGTGCGCCGATATTATTTATACCATTTCTACACCAATGCAGTAGTCTGCATAACAGTAAATCTTATTTTTTTTTTTGTGAGAATAAAAATTCAAAGTGGAAAGCAAAAGAAATGTAAGAGGGGCCTGGGGACGTGACTAATGAACAGAGGAAATGTTATTTTAGTGCCAGGAATGTCTTTCTTGTTTATTCTGGACCCTATTTGGAAATTGGCATCTTTTGAAATTTGTGTGAAATTGGCAAAATTGCTAAATTCTGACCACTGTATTGGATAGTTGAAATTGGTAAATTGGTGGCTTCTTGTACTCATTCAATAGAAAAAATGGTTCTAGCAAAATAGTTATGATTTTTGTCAACTAGTACATTGGAATTGGTCGAAAATAGGGCTCCAAGTGGGCAAAATCACTGATGTGTAAACATCGTCAAGACCGTAACTTCGTGAGAGCATAATTCCATACGTTTTCCATCAAATTTCATACTTTTGGTGTCATTATGATTGGGAAAAAAATCTCTATCTTTTCATAAGAAATTTTTTTTTTTTTTTTTTGAAATTTGGAGGACCCTGAGAACAAGTCTCTGAGAGGGCCTATGGACCCTGAAAGGGTTAACCCTTTCAAGGTCGAGAGGCCCTCTCCTAAACTTGTTCTCAGGGTCGAAAATTTTACAGAAAAAAAAAAAAAAAAAAAATCTTATGAAATAATAGAGAATCTTTTCCCGATCATAATGACACCAAAAGTATAAAATTTGATGGAAAACTTACAGAATTATGCTCTTACGAAGTTAGCAATCTCAACGAAGTTCACGCATCGGCGATTTTGCCGACTTTGAGCCCTATTTTCGGCCATTTCCAGTGTACTAGTTGGCAAAAATCATAACTATTTCACTAGAACTCCAGTTTTCTATCGAATGAGTACAAGAAACCACCCATTTACCGATTTCAACTATCCAATAAAGTGGTCAGAAATTGGGAATATTGACAATTTCACACAAATTTCAAAAGATGCCAATTTCTAAATAGGGTCCAGAATAAACAAGACAAACATTCCTGGCACTAAAGTAACATTTCCTCTGTTCATTAGTCATGTCCCCATGCCCCTCGTACATTTCTTTTGCTTTCCATTTTGAATTTTTATTCTCACAAAAAAACTAGAGGATTTACCATTATGCAGACTACTGCATTAGTGTAGAAATGGTATAAATAATATCACCGCACTTGTGAAAGAATATTAGACTCACCAGTTGACGTGTATTGGACGCATGGCATGATTTGTTTACTTTTGAACTTTGGCAAAAATCGAACATTTCTGCTACTTTGAGCTCAATTTCAAGGTACTTTTCATTGTGAAACCAATCAAAATCATCTCAATTTATGTAGAATGCCTTCCATTCTATAAAATGAGACCAGGAAAACTAGAATACAACTATTAATACGATACGAAAGTACAATGCAAAGTTGCTGTTTTAAAGCAAAAACACAGCTAAAGTTTTTTTTCTCATTATGCACTGTGTGCTGCAGGACTTTTTTTATACTGTGCACACTGACCACATAGACCCATTCTTTCACATGTAGGCCTACCAGCTTTCTCTTGCTAGATTTGAAGGCGCTAGAATTTACGCATACTAGTACGTCAATAACCCTGGTGCGCAAGATGTACTAGTATGTAGGAAACCCTGAAAGGGTTAACATAAATGTACATAAGAACATAAGAAAGGAGGAACGCTGCAGGAGGCCTGCTGGCCCATACTAGGCAGGTCCTTTACAATTCATCCCACTAACAAAACATTTGCCCAACCCAATTTTCAATGCCACCCAAGAAATAAGCTCTGATGTGAAAGTCCCACTCAAATCCAACCCCTCCCACTCATGTACTTATCCAACCTAGATTTGAAACTACCCAAAGTCCTAGCCTCAATAACCCAACTAGGTAGACTGTTCCACTCATCAACTACCCTATTTCCAAACCAATACTTTCCTATGTCCTTTCTAAATCTAAACTTATCTAATTTAAATCCATTACTGCGGGTTCTCTCTTGGAGAGACATCCTCAAGACCTTATTAATATCCCCTTTATTAATACCTATCTTCCACTTGTACACTTCGATCAGGTCTCCCCTCATTCTTCGTCTAACAAGTGAATGTAGAATGTGAACTTGCACTATTTTAGAACTGTTTAATCTAAATTTGATAACTGTACTGTAAACATTTTCCCTATCTTAATTCTATTTTTATGACAGTGTATAATTAATTTTGTTATGTTACATTGGCAAGCACTAGTCCACATCCCACCTAATCAAGACAGTTACTGAAGGAGACATCTTGCCACAAGTAGTGAAATGTTTCCTTCAATAAACGTCTTGAGTGTGCATATGTCTTATTCCCACAATTTATCAGTCTTAACACTTTCAAGGTCTGTGCCACAGTACTACGGGTTTGAGCTCAGGGTTTATGCTGTAGTACTATGTATGTGATGAGCTCAGCTTGCTCAGATAAGCAGCGAGTGGTAAATTTAGGCCTAGATACGAGAGAATGGGTCTATGCAGTGAGTGTGCACCATATAAAAAAAAACCCTACCCCACGCAGTGTATGATGGAGAAAATAAAGACCATGTGCAGTGGTACCTTGAGTTGCGAACAGCTCCCAACTCGAACAATTATATATAAGTGTACTTTTGTAAGTGTATTTTTGGGGGTCTGAAATGGACTAATCTAATTTACATTATTCCTTATGGGAACAAATTCGTTTGGTATTGGCACTCGAACAGCCTTCTGGAACGAATTAACCCCTTCAGGGTTTCCGACGTACTAGTACGGCTTACGCACCAGGGTTATTGACGTACTAGTATGCCTAAATTCTAGCGCCTTCAAATCCAGTGAGAGAAAGCTGGTAGGCCTACATATGAAAGAAAGGGCCTATGTGGTCAGTGTGCACA